AAAAACATTAACCTTTCATTTTTTTGGAATATATATATATATATATATATATATATATATATATATATATATATATATATATATATATACATATATATATGTGTGTGTGTATGTAAGGATGTGGCATATTAACATAATTATACCATAATATATAATATTTTGTTCATTTTAGGCAAAATAAATGTATGCTAAACTTTCTCCTTCTTTTTACAGATGTCATAAAGATCTTGAAGGCACTTGATTGTTAGTTCTGCACACTGATTTGTTCTGGGAATTTCCAGTCTCGTTGGTTCTCGATTCCAAAACATTTTCACAGTTTCTCATAATCACCTGCATTGTAATCGTCCACCCATCTGTAAGAGATGAATCTACAAATTTCGAGTAACGTTTTTTTTTCTCTTGTAGAAGAATAAATGCGAAAAGAACTAGTATTGATCTAAATTTCATCTTGCATTACGTAAGTTAGGCATTCTTTTAAACTTCCCTTGAGGAAATCTTCGGAAAAGCAGAAAATTCTGGTTAAATGAAATAGAAATTTCATATCATCACGCCAACATGCTGTTTCAGTAATCTCTTCTTTACCATTCTTGAAATTCTGTTTGGGCTGTTCGTAGCCATTTACAAGTTCACGGATAAACGGATATTCGATACTGGGTGATGTGTTGTTTTCTAAAGTTCGTCATCCATTATTAAGTGAAGTACTCAGTCAAGAACATGATACTGACAATCAATGAATTGTGGTTCTTCTAGTTTCTTTTGAGCAAATAGTCTTTGTAACTGAATGACAATATAATTCCGCTTCCGGCGTTCACATTTTTAGTATCCACAACAATCATCTTTATGCACTTCCATAAATTGTATTCATCCAGAAGAGTTGTTATTCCTTTGACAACGATAACCACATTTCCATTTGGTAGGTCTAATGCTTTTAACTTATCTTCTTTTATTCTTCAAAACAAACACTTGATATTCTTGGCCATCAATTCGTTTATCATCAAAATACATTGAGACATTTTTAAGTGTAGTGTTTTCTTCATTTCTTCTTTAATTTTAACAGCTTGTAGTGGATCTGTAAATACCAAATTTAGAAGGGGTTATAACGTCTGTCTCTTCTTGAGATAACTACTGACAAGAATTTTCTGCTTTGCTAGTTGATAAGTGTTATGGGGTCCACCAGTGGACTCGACCAGTGTGTACTTGGACTGCTGCCGTTAAATACCCAGAGTCAGTCAGGGTAGAGAGATTGAGATTGTGATTGAGTTGGAGGTAGAGTAATAGTGTGAGGTAACCGCTTGTAGAAGCCACACTTACAAGCACGTAGACTCAGGAGGAAGTCCTACTTCGAGACTGAATTTACCAGACTGTATATATATTATTATTATTGCTACTAACCGCATTTCTGGATCTACTAACTGTATTACCAATTGTATTATTGTGTAAATACATTTATTTGTTATATTTCATTCCTGCCTTTGTCATTCATTTGAGACCGGATTTCATCCCGGAATCCGCAACAATAAGTTTGAAGATATTACTAATTTGGTTGCAGTTTTGGTTTTGCTATACTTCCTTTTTTTGTGGATTATTCTTCAGAACTTTTGGACTCCTCATATTCCTTCTGTGATTGTGTCTCTGACGGAGTCTCTGATTCGGAAGATGAAGTTGTTGTTGAAGTTCGCTCCAAAGTCACTTTTTTCTTTTGGATTGATTAATAGTTTTGGAACTCGCAGTCTTTCCATTTGTGTATCCAACATCTTTGCTTTCAATTTGAAGATAATATAACCGTCTGTCCACATTACACAGTCATTCAAAATTTTCTTTTCTGATGTCAAAAATTTGTTTCACTGGATTATATTTTCCTCGTTTCACATATTCATTTCATGTGTTTAGCACTTGATCTAGTTTTGCTTGCATGACTTTAATTGATAAATTTGTGAAATTTCATTTCGTTTGCCATAAACCTGTTACTTCTTTAGCAATTACCTTTATAAGTAATTTCCTTCCTTTGATGGATGCTCTAAGATAGCCACTAACAATTTGGATTTTGAGTGATATCCTGCTTTTGTTTTCCTGTGATTGTTCTTCTGGTGGAACAGATTTTTTTATATGTGATTCTTGAAATCTTTTGAGATTCTTCGTCAAGATCTTCTCGTTCATTTCAGTGGTAAAAGAGCTTTTTTAAGAGATATTATGCTTAAAGATGCATACTTTGAGATCTTTCAGCAAATCATTGTGCGTTGCTCAATCAGGAAGTTTATTAATTTTTCGACAGCTATCACTGTTAAATTTCTAATTCCGACACGAATATTTTATATTACTACGATCCAATTTGAATTATATGATTATTACTTTTTTATATATATATATATATATATATATATATATATATATATATATATATATATATATATATATATATATATATATATATATATATATATATATGTGTGTGTAACGTTGTTATTTTATAGATACAAGTATTTAAGCAAATACGCCAGAGCAGTTATGAATGTACGAGATTCATGGAAAATTGGAGTTTATAAGCAGTAAATTCGACCTTGTCTACCGAACGCTTCTTTGTAGCCTAGCGGTAAGGCACGTCAGCGTATATGACGGTTCCGTATAGGATGCAGGTTCGAATCCTATCAAAGAACGAATATTTTCTATGAAAATTTCTCGGACATTCAGGCCGGTAAATGTTATTTAATACTGTTTATCATAAACAGAGCATTTGCTTAAATACTTGTATCTATAAAATAACAACGTTAAACATAAAAAAAAATGTCTTTAATAAATAAATTGTCGGACCTTGTCCATTTCTTAATATATATATGTGTGTGTGTGTGTCCGTTAGTTAAGTTCCATAGATAGAAACATAAGAATCATAAGTAGAGCTTCTCGTCATCCAAAGACAATTTTGCTTCCTGCATTAATTTCGGATTAGCATTTTATGTATTCACCAACCCCAAGTTTAGTTTACCTATGAAAATATAGATAAAGAAATAGAATATACACAGGGTAACGCTGCTTCTCGTCACATATATATTATCTGTTAGGGCATTATATATATATATGTGTGTGTGTGTGTACACGTAGGATAAGGAAATGCATTAACATATAAAATCACATTGATTACTACGTTTTATTTTTAGCAAATCATTAGAGCGAGAAAACCTTTTTTTATTTCTTTTCGCTGAAAACCATTTTATTATGGTTATCTTTTAATTTCCGCATTAATTATGAACATCCGCCGAAAGAAGAATATTGATTGATTCAAGATAGTCCTACAGATAAAGATGGAAAAACGAAAGAAAAGAAGTTCAGTTTATTTAAATATTAGTATTTTCAATGCACCGATATTTCTAAACTCATAATACGAAGACAGTATGACCAAGTCATTAATTTATGATTATAAGGTTACTTGGCGTTGCCCAGAAGTTATATATTATTATTCATATATTTATCTGATCATATTATTTATATATTATTTATTCATATATTTATCTGATCCTGGTTTGTTAACTTACCGGCTTATCAAGATTTGTTGTGTTATTTAATATAAGCTTTTGGGGTATAAATGTCAGAACGAATTAATAGATAAGACTTGAGTCATAAAAGTAAATAAAATCGTTTTACAGTATACTCAAAATGAATAAACCTAGGTCTAGTTTACACTGGAGTCAAAAGGTTTATATAGTGTTTTTTTTTTACATTTGAATCAAAAGACAGACTGGTCCAATAGGGATACTTTACACTTGAGCCAAACTGTTGATATAGGGTCACTTGTGTCAAACGATAGGTATACAATCAGTTCACATTTATGTCAGCAGGTAGATATAGGGTCATTTTACAATTAAGTCAAAGGGGGAGACTTTGGTTGGATCTATGCTCACATCTGCATGTATTTTCTCGAAGGATGGTCAACATTTGGTAGGGGTCTTATTCCACTACAAAAGAAACATTCAGAATTTTTTAAGATCCATCGACAGGTCAGTCCTTTTTCAGCACATATCTCACTGCAATAATATTGTAGTAATCGTGTAAGCATTTTTCAGGGAGTTTTTTTTTTAATCAATTCACTCCAGGCAAGGCGATAATGGGACTAAGATGCAAGGGGCTACTGCGAGTGAAAGAGGAACCGGAAACCTAATCATAAACAGAAAACAAAGGATAAACCTCTACTCCTGTTCAAAACACTGGGGAAAGTGCGAACCGGATGATAGGCGAACCTATCTACCCCTATTGAAGAAAAAAATGAGATCTTTTCAGACTAAGTGGAGGTAATCTTTACATGAATTCCCCGGGTTGGGAAAATTATTGTTGTTCTTTGTCAGGCAAAGCGAAACTGAGTACATATTTATACAAATAACTAATTGAATGACTGCAAGTAAAACGTGTGCGTATGCATATTTTAACGAGAATGTCTATGCTTGCAAATATATCGCATACTTACAATAAATTCGTAAATGTTATTCAGAGAATATGAAGTGAAAAAGGCTAATGTATAAATAGCCGATATTTGCTTTCAATAATAATAGTCTTACAAAAGTCATGATAGCGAATTCGTATTTATAAGAGAGCAAAATGTTGACAATGGCCTCGTAATCACTCACTCACAGAAGCATTTGGGAAGATCTTTCTAGACGAATGGACGCGATTCCATGTCGCGATCAATGAATTGTATGGCGGGAAAATTCTTTATTTGTGTTCAAACATATACAAAAGAAAAAGCAACAACAACATAAGAAAGCAAACGTCTGCACACACTACGTTGATTTTCGGACAAAACGAGTAAGACCAGAAGTTGTTTGATGAGAAACTGGGAAAGATGAAGCAATGGGAAATGGGAAGCATATGAAATGCGCAAAATGTTAACAAGAAAAAGAAAATATGAAAATCAGTTGGATACTTTTTCGATTAATGCAATCACTACCGGCGACTCTGTTTGTGGGCATATTTATATTTATTTGTTTATTTCTTCATTTTTCACGATTTTCTAGGATTTATTATTTGTTTTCTTTTTTTTCAGTTCACCTCTTTTCTTTTTCTGTTTTTTTTGTTTGCTTCTTTCTATATTTTTCTTTCATGTTTGTTTCTTTGTTTGTTTCTTTGTTTCTTACATAATACAATATATTCTTTTCTTTTTTTTTTCATTTCTTTTTCATTTAGCTCATCATCCTTTCTCCCGTTTTAATTTGATTTCATTAGTTACTTCATTTTAACTTTCATGATTTTTCTCTTCAGTCTGTTTTTTACTTTTATTTCATAGCTTTATTATTTAATTATTTATTTATTATTTATTATTTATTCATTAATTTATTATTTATTTATTTATTATTTTATACTTTCCAGTTTTTCCTTTTATTTGGTTTTACCTCTCTTTCTTTCTCTTTTTACTTTCTTTATAGTTTTATCTATTTCCTGGTCAGCTCGAGGCGGAATAATGGCTAGCAAGCTTGTCTTACTAGAACAATTACAACTGAGTAGTGAGTTCGATCCTCACTGGATGCCCCATACTTTCGGCCTTGTGCCACATCTAAGCTACACTTAGAAAATCATTAGTTTTATCTATTTCACTTCCTTTTCTTTTACTTTCTTCCTTTGGTTTCTCTTGCTGGTTTTCTTTCTTAATAGTTTACTTATATTTTTTCTTTTTCCCTCTCTATCTATTTTTGGTTTTTCTTGCTTGCTTTCATTTTTCTTCCTGCTCTTTCTTGCTTCATTTCTTGTTTTTTTTTCTTTTGTTTAATTTTCTTTTCTTCCTTGTTTTTCTTTCTTTTTTCTTTATTCTTTCGTTTCCTCATCTTTATTGCTATCCGTTAATTGTGCGTGAGAAATAATATACAGAATGACACACACACATACACATACAGAGGTGCACACACACACACACACACACACACGTGCTAACGTTCTGTGGCTAGTTTTCACTCAAACGCACTTGCACCCGCCCCACACACATTTATATATACTGATGATATGACGAATGTTGAGGATGCCTGGATGGTAACGTTCCAGTTGCGTAAATGTAAAAAAAAAAAAAAAGTTTGAAGAAAATAAAAACGATGACGAGAACAGAAAAAGATGAGAAAAATTAATTAATTTCAGAAGATCGAAATGCATCTTTAAAATATATGCATTTACAATTCTAGATTATTAATTTTTAACATAATAATTATATCACACAGGCCATGACTACTGAAAATGTACCTCACCACACACACACATGCTCACGGCACACACATGCATATATATATATATATATATATATATATATATATAGACTATAATAAAATAGACTATATAAAATGAGAATGAGTTTGAACTTGTTGATGAACATTTTTCCTTATTAATGCGCCTTTGTTCAGTGATTCTCAAAAATATTTAATTCATTGCATAAATAGATTCAACCAAATTCCCCTTCACCACAAACGACATACATAGCCAGTTACGCCACTTGATTTTCATTTTTTCATTTGTTCAAAACATAAGCATCAACACGTGGAGAACAAAAACTTTTTGAAAAAATAAGCAAAACAGGTTAAAGTAAAAAAGGTTTTTTAAAAAAGAAAACAACAAATAATTTTCCTACGAAAAACACTGAAAATCCAATTGTAAGTAAAATATATAAATAAACATCACTATATTCATTATTAGGTGCATTTTTTCCAATTCTCATTTTAATCTATACAATAAATTTTTGTACAAAATATTTCAAACAATTTTTTTAACTTAAATGTCTATAATTGGTAACAGAAGCCATTGGTTTATACCAACGGCTTTCCTTATTTCATTCTACAATTCACTCTCGTGTAGTCATGTGTGACGTCATGAGATGCGGTGCGATTTTCGCTTCTAGCGTCTTATATGCGCGTGTTTATCGTTGCTTAGTGATCCACTATGTAAACAATGACAGACTATCATCACTGTCGTGTCCGTATATTGTTTAATATGTTTGTGATTTACATCTTTGATAATGGCTTAAGTAAGCCGAAAGCTTAGATTATATTAAAAAATATGGATCAATATTGTGAATTTCTTTCTTCGTTTAATGATAATGTTATCAAACTTATCAGAAGTTACGAACAAATTTTACATAAAATAAATAGACAACACTTGTCTATATTATTTAATGAAACGTGTATATATATATATATATATATATATATATATATATATATATATATATATATATATATATATATACACAGGTGTATCAAAAATACCTATTATAAACGTTGGAAGCGGGTTCCTCACGCCAAAACAAGGACAAAAGTCGGCTGCCTTCGGTCTGGAAACGCAATTTGATACAGCCATGCAGCCTCACGTCCATTACCATTCAGTATGTAAAAATCATATCTGCCTGCTCACGATATGAATATCCTGTCATTTTTAAACGGAAAACTTCTCAGGTAAGTTACTACTACACACGTTAAACGTTGAAGACAGACTAGCCACAACAACAATGACAAATTTAACTACATTGCAATACTGCAGCACCTACCGTAAACTTTCTTAAAACTTAATAACTCAAAAACGAAGGATTTGCTGATATATGTTTATATAGACATTTGTACTTGTCTTGGTGTGAGGAACATATCTCCACAGTTTGAAAAAAAGTATTTTTGATTCACCAGACACACACATACACACATACAAACACACACACACACACACACACACACACACACACACACATATATATATATATATATATATAATGTTCGTAGAAGTGTTTTCTGTGTTTTCTTTTCTGGTCACAAAATGTATAAAACTGGCAAAAAGTTCAGACTTTCCGAGTACTTTCGGCTATACTTTTAGCCATTATCAAGGATGATATTTTTACTTTTAACTGAATGTATGGGTTGTGTTATGTATGTATCTAGAGTTATAATGATGCTTTATTTTCCAGACACAGTCACCACATTGTGGCCGTGTTCATAGTTAATATTATTGAGTGTTGTTTTTTCTTTTTTCATTATTAGGGCTTCCATTATTTTTGATCTTTTTTTGCATGTTGATGAGGTTAATATGCTTCTGTTTTCTGCTAGTATGTTCCAAATAGAGTTTTCTAGTTTTTTGTGTGTGTTTAAATGAGTTATAATGGAGTTTTGTGCGTGTTTAAATGAGTTATAATAGAGCTCTGGAGGGATAGGTAAAATGATAGTCGTCTGGATAGATATGTAGTAGTGTGACCAATATGAGTTAGGTTTGATCATGAACACAGTTCCTTAAGCGGCATTTGAACTCGTAAATAATGTTGGTTCTTTTTAGCTTTGATTTTGCAGGTGGGTTATTATTTTTGATGAGAAAGTTAACTGTTTTAAATTTTTTAATAGATAATTAATTTAATATTCTTGTTCGGGTCGAATGGGGTAGTGGATTTCTTTCTGATATTTCTAAGTGAAAATTAAAAGTAAAAAATAAAATAATCCTTGATATGGCTAAAAGTATAGCCGAAAGCACCCGGAAATGCAGACAGTTTTTGCACACTTTGTGTCCAGAAAAGAAAGCACTTGTACGAACACAAGAAAAATTAAATAAAAAAACTTCATCGCAGTACCTTGCCAATCGTCTTTAGCAAAACATGTATAAAGAAAGATTACTGCCTTAATACACAACACACACACACACACACACACACACATATATATATATATATATATATATGAGGAAAAGAGAAACAAGAAAGGAAGAAAGTACACTGCTTTAGAAGATTATGTGTACAAGTGAATTAAGAAATATATTCTTGCAAGAATAAACCAATAATGATAGAGACATCTACAGTAAATGAAAGAAATACAAAGGGGAATGAATGTAAGAGAGTGAGAAAAAGAAAACCAATGAAAGAGAGAAGGACCAAAGAATATTCATTAGCTCATTTCTTGGCTTTACATTTAGAATCAGACCACCCCAGTTTGTCTCCAGGGGGTGTTTCTGCACTTAAATATCGCTTGTCACGAGACTCCTGCAATATTACATTTACGCGTCCGCCATCTTAGGTGTTATCTCTTTCTCCAACTGACTGGGCACATTCAATGGCGAAAATGCCTGTCAGTTTTATTACCTCCCTTGCTTGACTATTACTCGCCGCTGATTGTCTAATGATAACATATGCATTCACTGCGGCAGCAGCGGCTTCCCTTCTCCTTTTGACACCAGGCCACTGACAAGTTTATTGACAGCTTTACAGTTTGCAACAAATGCGTCTAACTAAATCTTGATCACGGATAAACAGACCTTTATACAAGTTATAGGGACGTTTTAATTTTTCTTTCTTTTATATTGCAGAATTTTATCTTAATTTCAACTTACTCTTCCCTATTTTCATAAACAACTTTGTTTCTGTTTTCATCTTTCCATGTATTTTTTTAATATCTCCTTTTACTTTCTCTTCAATTCCTCGTTTTCCCTTTTGTTTGGTTCTTTCTTTCCGTCCTCTCCATTTGTTCCTTTCATTTTACTTTCTTCCTTCTTTTCTATCTTCGCTAATTAAATTATTATTTTATAGTTTGTTTTACTTTTCCTATGGTTTCTATTATTATTATTATTATTATTATTATTATTATTATTAATAATAATAATGATAATAATTATTTCTTTATTTTTATTTCTGAATTCATTAAATTATTCATTCATAACTTTTATCCTTTTTTAAAATCTTTATATTTATATAAGTATTTTTATTTATTCTCACGTATTGATTTTCTTTCTTTTTTTACGTTCTTTTTTTAGGATCTACCTATCTTCTTTCTTTCTTTCGTTCTTTTTTTCAGGGTATACCTATCTTCTTTCTCTGTTTCTTTGTTTGATTGTTTCTTTATTTTTAAAGATATACCTATCTTCTTTCTTTGCTTCTTTCTTTTTTTCTTTCTTCTTCCGTTCAGGATGTACCTATTTTCTTTCTTTGCTTCTATTTTTCTTTCTTTCTTATTTTCTTTCTTATTTTCTTTCTTTCTTTCTTTCTTTCTTTCTTTCTTTCTTTCTTTCTTTCTTTCTTTCTTTTAGAATATACCTATCTTCTTTCTTTGCTTTTTTCTTGTGTAAGTGACAATATTTAGTTCATGAGAATTTTTTTTTTTATTAATGGTAACATTTGCTTAGTAACCGCCTTTCTCTTTAGAATCACTGGATGTTTTCTCACATTTTTAACTTTATCATTTTCAATTTTCTTATCCGTTCCTCTGCGTGCTAACTTGCCCAGTATTGTCCAGAATCTAATGCCAAATGACGTCGAACATTAAGTGTGCTTACAACCCAGTGTGAATTAGACATTACTAAAGATCGTAAGAGATTGATTAAACTAAAGGATAAAGATTTTTAAAGAGATAAAAACGGAGGCAGTATAAATATAAAAAAGAAACAGATGGAATAGATCAACCAGACATTAAAGGAAAAAGAGGCCCAGATTTACCTATGTATCGATCTGTTTATCTTTCTTCCCCTAACTTTTCCTTGTTCTCTCTCACTATATATATATATATATATATATATATATATATATGAACACACCGAGACACCTACATAATAAGATATTTAAATGAAATTGATTATATACGTATATAAATTGAAAAAACAAACATTAAAAAATTAAGGTAGATGTGACTGAGCTTATATTATTGAAAGAATAGGTTAATATATATATATATTTCTAAAGAATTAATAGATTTATTTTTAATCCGCTGTTTTTTATTATTTCAAATGTTATTTTTGTTGAATACTCGTAATTGAATTAAATGCACGTTTTTATTTTAAACTGTGTGTATTGTGTCTATCGTCCTGTACACAGAAGAAAAATTAATAAAGGAAACGTGCTCTCCAGCAGGTTTCGAACCTGCGTCCCCTTTTTATGAGAAAACAACGTTTGATCCGGTGTATACATATATGGAGGGAAAGGAGATAATAAATGGAGATAGGGGAGAATAGATAGAGAAGAAGCAGAGGTATATATATATATATATATATATATATATATATATATATATATATTTTATTAAAGACATTTTATTATGTTTAACGTTGTTATTTTATAGATACAAGTATTTAAGCAAATGCTCTGTTTAGGATAAACAGTATTAAATAACATTTACCGGCCTGAATGTCCAATATTTTCTATGAAAATATTCGTTCTTTGACATTCAGAACCTGTAAATATTTAATACGGAACCGTCATAAACAGAGCATTGCCTTATAGGATGTATCTATAAAATAACAACGTTAAACATAATAAAATGTCTTTTAATAAATAAATTGTCGGACCTTGTCCATTTCTTATATATATATATATATATATATATATATATATATATATATATATCAGTAGTTCTATACAGGCTGAGATATTTAGGAGAAGTAAAAGAAAAGTAGAGGAAAAGTAAAAGGAAACGATAAATAATAAAAATAATGTTGTAAATAAAATAAAAGAAAGAAAGAAAAATAAAAAAAGACCATAAAAAGTAAATTATAATATTAAGAATAAAAAGAAACAACAATTAAATAAACTATACAAAAAATCCCACAATCAGAAATGCTTGATTGCAAATGGGTTTAATGCCATTAATTGTCAAAATAACATTGTTGGTGTCTTTGGCGCTTTCTCTTTCGATGGACAGATAAGCTACAAAAGAGATGTCAACAAGTGCGCAACTTGATAAAAAGCAATGATTAAAATACATTTATAACGGAAAAAAGTTGTTACGCTTTCACTTCTGAGACATAAAAGCTTCTTAATTAAAACTGTCTTTTTAGATCAGAGCAGATACAAAATGAATCAAATAGCAATGAGCCATGTAGTTAATTATGTAACCTCTAACCCTGGCTCTTTAATCTCGTTGTCTAATTTCATTCATATGTATATTACTATTAAGACCGTCATATCAGCAAGTGTGTACGTGTCATTCACAAATATTGAACGTGATGTGAGTGAAGGACATTGAACAAAATACATTTAATAGTTTAATGCTGAGGCATTTGTTCAAGCATCATAAATTAATTTACATTTAACGAAGAGAAAAAAATCTGAATTAAATGATTGCCTATTACATAAGCACAATATCTAACCATTTTGGTGATTTGGATTTGGAGTATACTAGATATATAGCCAAATCAATGACAGAAATTCTTTCTATACTTAATTCTTTCTATACTTAAAGATACTTAAAATGATTAGTGATATGATTGGATGTAAAGAAAGGTGGTTTCCTGCCTTTCCTAAAAGTATTTTCACGAGAGCAACATCATCTTCCATTTCAAAGAACTATACAAATAGTGTATAAGGATGCGTTTTCTCACCGAATTCATATACAGAGGATCGACCCAAGAGAAAATAGAAGTTCTACCAGGATTTACTATTAGTGGACACAATTTTAACAATGTTAGTAGGAGGCACGGTGAAGTGAATTAGATTGAGAAATCGGAGAGCCGAGTTCGAATTCCAGTCAGATTCATTACATTCAATTACGTGCTAATACCCTTGGGAAAGGTATGAATCCTCTTCTTCTCCACCCAGCTATGGGTAAATAGCGGGACGGACCAGGTTCTATAGCCTTGGATGCCAACTGGTCTACGGCAGAAAGAAATGGCAACCGACTGCGGGAAAAAAATCTGTCTCGTCAGTCATGTATCGAAAGATACATGACCGCCTAAGCGTGTATCACGCATGGCATATAACTGACTGGTGTTAACAGCATAAGATGCGAAGATGATACCGTGTTGATGGTAGACACTGAAAGAAAACTGTAAGAACTACATGGTAGTAAAGTAAAGCCGAAAGAAGGCCTAAGCATTACTTGCAAGAAGACAGAATGCATAGTCTTTAGTAACAGAGACAGCGTGAATTGCAAGCTATGAATTGAATATATCAAGAGTGTAAAGAAATTTAACTACCGAAGAAACGTAACACAGAAATCTGAAGTTAAGCAAACTATTAAGAAACAGAAAAATGTGCTGAACTACTATGTAATATCAATCCTTCTATATGACAGTAAATACTGTACAATTTCCTCATAGATATATAGGAAATTTGAGTGAACAAAGATAAGGTTTTACAGAAGGATGCTTAGAATATCATTGACTGGATATGTGAGTAAAGCAGAAAATGAATCCTTTAAGATTATCTTTTGGGAAAAAAGAGTGCCTTCAAACTCGTAGATATTGTAGTTCATGCTAAACTTATCTCGTTCCGTGCAGGTCATGCGGGAGGATCTATATTACGTAACAGTTCAGTATTCGTTTCTCGTTTTTAATGAAATTTTTCTGTTTCTTAATATTTACTTAGATTTTTGAAGGCAACTTTCGCTATGCCAATGCGCCTTTGAATTTCAGTTTTGCACTGTTAAAAACATTTCTCAGATATTTAAATTGTTGTACTTGCTTGATTTTGGTATCTCCAATATGTAATTTGCATATTAGGCTATTTCATTGCAATTTCAAATACTTAAGATGAATGGCGGATGTGGAAAAATGCTAATGTAAGCAGGATAGGCCAAAGAAAATTAAGAACAAACATTAGAATTAATGTTTTAAAAATTATTGATTAGATACACTCACTGAAAAAACTGGTTTCTTAAAATTGTAAGTTCTGTTATTAGTGCAGTTACGTCAGTTATGTGCCGTGTGTGATACAGGCTTAAGCGATCGTGCATTTTTCGATACATGACTGACGAGACAATTTTTCCAGCAGTAGGTGGCCATTTATTTCTGGAGTAGATCAGTTGCCATCTAAGGCTATAGAAATCGGGCTGTACTGCTATTTACCCACACTTGGAGGGGAGAAGAAGAGGATTCATGCTTTTCCCAAAGGGTATTAGCAAGTAAGTGAATGTAATAGATTCGACTGGAATTCGAACTCGGCTCTCCGATTTCTCAATCCGGAGTGCAGTTCTGATCGGTATAAAAATATCAGAGAAGGTCTAGAAGAACTGCCATAAATTATTATAATTTTAACTGTAAAATATGCAAATAGCTTCTATGGCGGGAAACTGCAGAAACTCCTGTACATTGTAGTAAAGAAAGACAGTACAATGCGAGCGCGACGGATTAGAAGAGTTAGATGCAAACAGAATATAGCAAATGCAACGTTAATCCAAAAGCGATTCTCTACAACGAAATATACCTTCCATAAACTAAACAGAATATTATAATATAGGAAAATTTTCGTTACAAAACAAAGGGAAGTGTGCTAACCTGCTATGTCATATAGCTCTTTCTATATGGCAGTGTGCTATATTCCGTGCTAATAGGAATATATACTTGACAAACACGGTGGATAAAATAAGTGAAGGTTTATTGTAAAAACCTGTACAATAAGAATAAAGTTAACAGTTATGCACAAGGTTGTCGTCAGTCAATCCAGTAGTGAGGACTACTCTTCGAAAGTCGGTAGTTCTCGCGTAAGTCTCAGTCGTACTCAACAGATCCCAGCTAGGAATATTCACCAGCCTCCCCACGAAGTAGGATATGGCACAAGGCCGAATTTAATGTGAGGCAATCTGAGCCCGTAGGCTCGACTAAAAATTCCCCGTAACCCCGCATAAACGGGTCTGACTACCTCCCCGGACGAGACTCTGCCCTTCGGCATAGCCTCGTCCGGGTTCCTCTTTGCCCGAAGGCAGAGAGTTCGACAACAGCCAAGATCTGAGTAACAGGTTCCAGCCAGACTCTGAAGTCCGTTGACTTACAGATACTTATAGGTAGTTACTACCTATAGTCTAGTCACTCATGGGGGTGACATGTTATTCCATTACATCATAGTGAATACTTGACAATTTCCTCAAAGGTGAACTAGAGACCCAAAGCGACAGAGATGTAAAGCAGAGAATTCCATGGATTGAACATGTGAACAACAAGGACATTTTTGATATAGATAATGAGGAAAGAAAACTTGGAAAGAAAACTCGAAGAATTTAACGTTCGCTGGACATAGGGAAGGCAAGAGCGACAGAAAAAAAAACATCGACCTGTCTAATGTATTTGTGTGAATGGAAAGCAACATAGGAACAAAGAGCTATAGTAAAAGTCAACTGTTACTTAGAGCTACAAGGTAAGGT